CATAATCATCACCATCATCAGCATCATCAGCATCATCATCATCCTTTTCATCAGTAGCAGCAGCATCGTCGTACTCATCATCCGAATCAGCATCATCATTTCTAGCAGCAACGCCAGTATCATCATCCTCATCACCTTCACCTCACCATCATCGTCATCATCAACATCATCAGCATCATAATCATACCCATCAACCTCCTCCTCATCATCCTCCTGATGATCGCCAGAATTATCAGCGGCCTACTCATCATCACCACCACTATCACCAGCAGCAGCGCAACCACCATCAACAGCATCATCATCATCATCATCATCATCAGCATCATCAGCATCATCATCATCACCCATCATCACCATCTCCATGGTTCCGCGGGCCCGTACTGCCTGGCTGGAGTCGCTCTCTAATTACTGGTGGCCGTCACACCCGCGCGGCGAAGTGCAGTCACAACAGGGTGTGTCGGACCATCGGGCAGCCGTTGCGTCTGCAGCGCGCGGACGCCATCGGCATCGGGTGACCATGTATATGCACACAACTGCGACTACAAAACACAACTCATCATCATGACACTCATCATCACCATAATCACCACCACCATCATCATCATCATCATCATCATCATCATCATCATCATCATGGTCATCATCATCATCATCATCATCATCATCATCATCATCATCATCATCATCATCATCATCATCATCATCAGCATCACAATCAGAATCATCAGCATCATCAGCATTGTCAGCAGCAGCACCACCAACAGCATTATCATCGTCACCCCAAGTATTATCATCATGGTCGTCCTCGACGCCGTAGTCGTCCTCGTCATCGTCATCGCCATCGTCATCATAATCGCTATCATCACCACACTTAATACCCTCCTCATCGTTTGACTCAAGTGGCCGTCGGATTACCCCACCAGCCTCCCACATCCAGCACATGTGATACATACCTCTACTGTTCTGCACAGGATAGCGGGTACATGCAGAAGCGGGCAGGGGAGAAGACAGGATCGACACGTGAGCGGAAGAAGGGCCGCAAGAGCATCGTGAAGGGCGAAGAGGAAGGAGTCCGATGTGGAGGTGTTACCAAGAAGCAAAGGAAGAAGCGGTGGCGAGATTGAGGAGGCGCCGCCGAAATGGTTCCAGCGATACGAGGTAAGTCAAAAAAAAAAAAACTACAATACCTTGAAGGCAGAGATGAGTCGCGTCAAAGACATGATTGACCAAACGAGGATCGAGGCGCAGCACGCAAGGAGGGCAGCAGAGGAGATTCAAGACAAGATGGAAAAAATCGAAATTGAGGTTGACGGGATCCGGAGCAACCTTGCTGACTGGTACGTGACGAAGGACGAGGTCGAGCAGATCATGGAGAGTAGAATTCAGGAGAAGGACGATGAAAGGGTGCGGGAGGCGGCGAAGGACCGGAAGCACATGTAGCGGGGGGAAGGGGAACTTTCTCGGCAAGTACTCACACTCAGCGTTGCCGCACGAAAGGCAGCAAAAGACATCGTGAAGGACATCGAAACCACTGTTCAAGACCTTCTAGGACAAGACTCCGACGTGAAGGTTGAGGCACCCACCGACCCGTCCAAGATGGGCATCATCACGTTCCAAAGCAAGTCAGATAAGTAGTAACTTTTTACAAACAGGTGAAGGACCCATGCAACAAGGACATATTCGTCAAAAACAACATCACTAAGGACGAGCAGGAGAAGGAAAAGAGAATGGGGCACACAAAACATCACTTATTACAAAACCTTGATTCCAAATCTAAGGAGGGAGATGTCTGGATTTGGTGGGATAAGTCGTTGGTTACAGTAAGGGGGAGGAAAATGGCATGGTACAATGAAGCTGGCGTGTGGTGCACCACGGCAGTAGGTAAGTCAGTTGAGGAAGATGTAGAATCATGCATGCAACGATGGAGAGCGAAGCAGTACCCTGACCCTACCACGGACAGCGAGTGACGCCCAAGAGGCGCCCCAAGGAGGCGCACAGGCGCCGTAAGACCAGACACAGATTTGAGACAAGCATCACCTTCGGAAGGCATCGGTTTACCTTTCTCTGGAGGGGGTGGTAGAAGAACGAATGCTTCGATTGATGGGGACTTCCCGCTTCAAGCCGTAGGCTTTCGAGTGACACCCGCAAGAACCAACCTTGTTCATCCCTCAGGACCCAAGACATCATCAGCTCGAGATTCGAGGACTCCCTTTACACCGACTACTGTTTCACCAACTCTTGTTTCACTATACTCTGGTTCACCAGCTCTTCCAGGGACTCCTGCTTTACAGGTCTTGGAAAAGGCTACGACTTCTAACCTCAGCGCGTACAACATCCACTCGTTTACAGATTTCTACTCGCGGTTTGAGGCTATCACAGCCGAGATTGGCGAGGCACGTTGGGACATTATCGTTCTCACGGAGACCTGGAGAGACCCCAAGGAAGGAATCTTCTCAACAAAGGGTAAGCACACATGGTTCGGTAGCAGGGGTACCAATGGCTCCAGTGGGGTCGAGTTTCTCTTGCACCAGAGATGGCGCTATAACTTATTGAAAGCGTTGTCCGAAAGAGTCGGCATGCTGACCATTGACATGACGGTTCGATCATCAACATCATAAGGGTATATATATATATAGTTGCCTCATCCTAAGTACGCAGATATACATGTAGACGCTGTTTAGAACATGTTGAATTCACTATTGGATGCCCCCAGGGAGTTTACTAATGCCGAAGACTTGAGTGCCGAGGTTGTGCCGGGCCTCGACCACAATCACGATGAAGACGTGCGAGAAATTCTCGGACCAAACCCGGTCGGGAAACGAAATTGGCGGGAGATATGCTGATAAATTGGTGTTTATTTCGTGGTTTACAGTTCGCCAATACATTCAGCGCAGGTGGGCACGAGAAGCTATGGACGCATGGCACGCCTTGACGCTCAGTATTGGAAAAATGCGGCGGGTGGCAAGACCTTTGGCTTGGCCTGGTAGATTTCGAGACAAAGCCTCCGACACCGTAGAGCACGGCGCCTTGTGGGACGTGCTGAGGGAGTTTGCCGGAGAAAAGTCGCACATCGCGCTTCCTACAAAAAACTGCATCGTGAACAGACAGCTTCAATTATTGAAGGGGCGGAGTCTCGCTCATTGTGATGGGCAAGAAAAGTAAAACAAGGTGACCCCTATCAGCGGTCTTTCTGGTTATCGTAATAATGGAATACTACTTCAAGTCGCTCAAAAAAGAGGCGCCGCCTGAACGGCAGCCGAACTAGGCAATACCATGGTTTGTGATGAACGACCCCAGCGAGCCTCTTACAAATCTTCGGTCTGTCGAAGATGCATTACTGTTCGCGCAGAGCAAGAGGGACGCTGCGAATATGCTAGATCACATGATAAACCACGCTGCTCGGTACGGATTGCGATTTCACTTTGGGAAGACCAATATACTGACGAACATCGTTTGAACGGAGGAGACTTTCGCGTTTGTCGGCGACTCTGAAGTACAGATCATTTTACCAATGGGATCAGAGAAGTATCTCGGACGGGTTGTGCACCTTGCAAGTATCATGGAGCAGAACTTACAGGTCGAATGTCTTCGGCATGGAAGTCCTTTGCCAAGCTCAAACGTGTCTTGTGCTCCATAAGTCGCTCCCTGTCTGCTAGGTTGAAGTTGTTCGAGTCTGCCGTGACATCGGCGGTGCTCTATGGCAGTTCTTGCTGGACGATCTGGGCCAATACACACTGGAAGTCCGATCAACAGGGAGACAGGTGGTGAGGAAGATTCTCCATATTCCAAGGAAGCACGATGAGACATGAGTGTACTACATCGAAAATCAACCAGGCTCTGCGCTCGCATGGCAAAAGTGCGAGGTTTACGCGATTGGGTTAAAACCCAGCAATCACGAAAGGCAGACTTTATCATTCGCAACGACATCGACGGCCACGAGAAGTGGTACAGAACGCTCGTGCACTAGGCGCCGTGCTCCCGAGCCTTTCCCACGGGACGCGACGGGGCGACCCTGCAAGGGGTGGTCTGACGTGTGAGGGGCCCTCCTCTTCCTCTCTCCCTCCCTCCCTCCCTCCTCCCTCCTCATCTGTCCAGCAGGCAAGTGCTCCCGTGCGCCCTGCCGTGGCATGCTCCGCTCGGTCTGCCCAGCCAGGCGCCGCTCGCCAGTGCCGTTGTAAAGGGCCCGGCGGCGGCCCGGCCCACGTGGCCGGTCAGCACACCGCTCTGCCTGCCTGTCATCATCAGCGGCATCCGCGTCATCGTCAGCAGCATGACCCTCGTCAGCATCACCATAAGTGTCATCCTCGTCATCGTCACCGTTGCCGTCTGAATTGCTCGTCACCCTCCTCCGTCCTCCCTCCAATCCCTCCCCCCGCCTTCTAGTCCTCCACTTCTTTACTGCGTATCCTCGATCTCTCCTCTCTCCTCCACCATGCCTTCTCATCCCGCCCCCCGCTCCTCCTTGCTCATCTCTGCCTCATCTCTCATCCATCGTGCCTCCCCCGACTCCGTGATCCTCCGGCCACCTCCATCGTCTCTTCCTTCCCGCCTGCAGCCCTCCATTCATCCATCCACCCTCCTCATCCCCATCCGCCTCCTCCCTCCTCCTCATTCATCCTCCTTCGCATCATCCCTATTGTTCCTCCTCCCCTTCCTCCTTCTCCTCCTCCTCCTCCTCCTCCTCCTCCTCCTCCTCCACATCATCATCATCATCATCATCATCATCAGCCATCAGCAGCAGCATCATCATCATCATCATCATCATCATCATCATCATCATCATCATCATCATCATCATCATCATCATCATCATCGTCATCATCATCATCATCATCATCATCATCATCATCCTCTTTGTCATTATTCATGCTCCAATATGAATTATCATCACCTTGCTCATCATTATCCTCTTCTTGCTCGTCCCTCAATCCCGTCCTCCTCTCTCTGCTCCCTGTCCTCCTCCTCCTCCTCCTCCAAAAACAAGGATCCGCATGCGCGTCCTGTCGTGGCTGCCGGGGAAGCCGCTCTTGGGGAGCAGCAGGAGCGGCTCCGACTCGGGCTCCGACTTCTCGAACTCGCAGGGGCTCTCGGGTGCTCTCTCTCTGCTGCTTGGCGTGCGACCGTCCTCCCCGTCATCACCTTCTTCTAATCCTCCTCTTACTCCTCCATGAGAGGGGGGGAAGAGGCCAGAGCATCGAGGATGCTTGGAAGTTCCACAGCTTTGGAACCGCTTAGGGTCTACGCATGCCTCTGGAGGGGTCTCTGCTTCTTAGTCGTGTTATGCACCTTCTTTCCCTTACCGTGATCTATATAGGTATACGCATGCATGCATACACATATACATACATAGATAGATACATACCTACCTACCGACCTACCTACCTACCTGATCAGCTTGCTTTTAGTACTCTGAAAAGCAATGCCCATATAAATCGTGTACCCTGTCTGTATACTGATTGCGACAGCACGCTTAGGACTGCAATGTTTACTCATAATATCAGATTGTTCCTCAATATCATTGTGCATGCCTCGTTCTCGACCGTAGTCCTCCTCCTCCTCCTCCTCCTCCTCCTCCTCCTCCTCATCCTCCTCCTCCATCCCCTTTCCACATAAGTAACTTCTCCAATGTCAACAGGGTGGGCCGGACGTTTCACCTGAGAACTCCGCACCGTTTGCGATCGCGAAGCTTGAAATCTGCAGCAGCTTCACGGATGGAAGGCGGGGCGACTTCAAAATGTGGCTCTCGCCTTACAGCCGAAAATATGATCAAGAAACTTATCAATCAAGAAATCTGGGCCGGCTTCGTGGAGATTTCTCAAGAAGCAAACCTGAGCAAATCTCTGCCGTGAGCGCCGGAGGAACGAACGTGCTGAAGAAACTGGGCCAACTGTCTGGCAGGTTGATCAAGAAACGCCAGCCCACCTTGTCGGGATGAGGTTTCTGAATCAGATACTCGACCGTACTAGATGTTCTCCTTGGATGCGCACGTCCGACCCGAGCATATAGTACACCCATCTTGTAGCAGATCGCTTCCCGAGCGGTGTGGCCAGAAAGCGCCCGCCGCGACGCATGTACTATGAGATCTCTCGGTGCGCGCGTCGCCCCTGGGGGGGGGGGCGACGCACATATAGTATGAGCATGCTGTCGGGAGGAGGTTTCTGAATCAGCTGCTCGACCGCAGTGCCTCGCACACTCGTCACAGACGTTGGCAACAGCTCCGCGGATCTGGAGAGGGAGGGCCGTTCTCTCGATGATTTTTGTATTTTTATTTCTTTTATATATAAATATATTATTTAATATATACGTATATATATATCATCATTACTATTATTATTAATATTATTATTGTTGTTATTATTATTATTAACATATATATTATTGTTCATATGTTTTTTATGTCATATATATATATATATTATTTTTTATGTTTCGATAGTTTTATTTTTAATATGTATATATATATTATAACTTTCTTTTCTCGAAGTCGTGTGGCTCGCGCCTCTCCGCGCCCCGTGCACAGGCCGTCCCTTTGACGGTGGGGTCCAGCAGCTGCACGGAGGGAGGGCGGCCCCTCGTCGGCACGTCGTCGGCCGGACCTCAGGCTCGTGCTCGATGCCCACGGCCAAGATCGCAAAAAAAAGCCTTGCAAAAAAAAGCCGGATTGTAAAAAAAACGGCTTTTTTTGCGTTTTTGTTCTGCAATCCGGTTTTTTTTTTGCGGTTTGTTTTTGCAATCCAGGGTTTTTTTTGTTTTGCAATCCTTCGAGCTGAGGCACGATCTGAATGGAAGGTTGCAGACTCTGAGTGATCTCGATTGTCGTCCTGTCGTCGTGGGCGCTCCCTCATCGTGGGTCGACCCCCCTGCTGAGCATCGTTTATCCGCATCCGATGCCCATCCCCAGCGGCTTGGCCTGGGCCCCACTGGCCGATTTGCCCCCCTAGATGGGGATATAGGCCGTCCCCTTCGGGTTTCGAGGGGTGTATCCCCAACTGGGGGGGGGTAATTTGGCGGGCGTCTCGAAGGGGATGAGGATGGGGATGGATGTCGGATAAACGATACTGACAAAATGCGGCTCCCCCCTCAGCTCCACGCACATCCGCCTCAACAGGTTGCAAGAGGTTCCTGGATGGAGGGCCGCTCCTTTTTCACAGTGTGGCTCTCGCCATCCGCGCCGCGCGCATCCGTTCCGAAAGTCTACAGCCGTCTCAAAGATGTTACTGTCCCAGGAGTCGTCTTCCGACACGGTTTGGGACTGTCAGGGCGCAAATCCACGCTGCTTCGTGGTGTTGGAGTCCCAGGGGTGGTGCTCTGGGACGACCTAGGTCGTCAGGACGCAGCAGTCACGCTGATGTGCGGTGCTGGAGCCTCAAGGGCTGTGTTTTGGCACGGTGCATGCTTTTCAGGCGTCTGTCTTCTAACAGGGTGCTTCCCGCGATGAGGCAAAACGTGCAGGGACCAATGAAGAGAGACATTCGAAGGAGGGTTGATTGCAACGTCGTTCATGCGCCTTGGGTTTACACTGGTCCTCATCCTCCCAAATGTGTTCTGCTCCTGCTCCTCATACACTCCGTTCTCCTCCCCCGCCTCCTCAATATCATCCTCAACCTCCTCATCATCGTTATCAGAATCCTCCCTGTTCGTCAGTGTCCTCGTCGTCCTCCTCCTCCTCTTACTCATCATGGTATTGCTCCACTGTCTCCCACGACCTCCATTTCCCCCAACTTTCGCGTTGTCCTACTCACCATCCTTGAGCTCATCATCAGGCTCCTCTGCGCCTCACTATCATCAACCGCCTCCTCATCCTCGTCCTCCTCATCATCATAATCACCCCATTATCCGCATCATCACACTCATCAACATCATTATCAGCATCAGCATCACCACCATCATCGCCCTTGTCCTCATCATCCTTCTGACCCCTCCTCATCCGTACCGTCGTCATCATTATCATCATCATCAGCATCATCATCAGCAGCAGCATCATCATTATCATTATCATCAGTACCACCATCATCATCACCATCAGTATCAGCATCATAATCAGCATCAGCATCATCATTACCACCACCACCACCTTCCTCATAATCACCATCGTCATCATCACCACCACCACCATCATCATCATAATCATCATCATCGTCATCATAATCATCATCATCATCATCATCAGCAGCATCATCATCATCGTCAGCATCCCTCCTCGTTATTCCCCTCATCCTCGTGATCCTCGTCACCCTGGTGCTCATCCCCATCTTCATCCGAACCTGACGACAACCACGACCTGAACGCCAATGATGACGACGACGCCAACGACGAAACTGACGACGACGACCACCACCACCACGACGACGAAGACGAAGACGACGATGACGACAGCAACGACGACGACGACGACGCCGCCGAAAACGACGACGGCGACGGCGACGACAGCAACTACAGCGACGACAGCGACGACGACGACGACGACGACGACGACGACAGAGAACGAGGACGCCGACGACGAGGACGACGACGATGACGACGATGACGACGACGATGAGGACGACGACGATGATGACGACGACGACGACGACGATGACGAAGACGACGACGAAGACGACGACGAAGCCGCGGAGAGCCTCTGGTGCGCTGCCCCTGCCCCCTCCGAGTGGCGGCAGCTTGCTCGCCCGCTTGTGCACGCTGCGCCTCGCTTGGGGGGGGGGGCGGGGGAGGGACCCGTACAGGTTCGGGGGTGGGCCTCTCTTCTAGGGGGCCTCCAGGGGGGCCTCCAGGGGGGCCTCCAGGGGGCCTCTAGGGGGCCTCTTGGGCTCTGTTTGGGGCCTTTTGTGGCCTCTTGGGGGCCTCAGTCCGTGCTTCCTCTCTTGGGCCCCTTCTGGGTCCGTCTTGGGGCCCTCTTGGGCGATCTTGGGCGCCTCTTGGACCGTCTTGGGGCCCTCTTGGGCCGTCTTGGGACTCTCTTGCGCCGTTGTGGCGCCCTCTATGGGTGCCTCTTGGGCCGTCTTGAGCTGTTTTCTGGGGCCTCGTGGGCTGTCTTGGACCGTCGGAAGCACGAAGCAGCGAGAATACGAACAAAAAACAAAAAAAACTCAGGAATAAAAACAAACAAACAAACCAGACAACTACTTGTTTCGCCTCCGTCTTGAAGCCCTCTTGGGCTGTCTTCAAACCATGTTGGACCAATTTTGAAACGCTCTTGTGCGGTCTTGGACTCTCTAGGAGCACTCTTGGACCATCTTGGCGCCCTCTTGGACGTCTCTCGAGCAATCTCGTCGCCTCCCTTCCCCTCCTTTGACGCGTTCTGACACCCCCGCCGGGTCCAAAACGGCCGGAAGAGAAATCAGTGCATTCCGGGGCCCCCGGGGACCCCCTCCCTATTTTGTGTATTCCTCTTCCTATATTTCTATAAGCTCGGGCGGGGGGAAAATCCATCACCCCCCCCCCAAAAAAAAAACCAGACTCCCGGGATCTGGGGCTTTGGGACCCTTCGGACGGGCCTCGAAGCAGCCCCTGGGCCTCACATGGCGCTTTGCCAAGCCTTCCCAGAACACCTAGGGCGATCAGGGGGGTCATCGGAGACGTCCCAGAGACCCCCAAGACAGCACAAGAGCGCTCCAAGAGTGACCGACGTGACCTCAAGATGGCCCAAGAGGCCTCCAGGACGGCCCCAAAGAGGCCTCCAAGAGCACTCCCAAGAAGCCCCCCCGAGGCAAAAATCATTGTTTGTCCGTGGGTTTTTGGTCAATTTTAGGGTTCTCCTCTTTTCAGCTTCCCGACGCTCCAAGACGGCGGTCTTCTGGGCGTCCGAAGCCGCCTGGGAGGCTCCACAACCGCCCCACAACCATCCGAAAGGGTTTCCAGGCAGTCCAAGAGAGCCCCAAAACGGCACAACACGGTCCAAGATGGCCCTCAGAGAGCCCCATGGCGGCCCAAGATGGCCCAAAGACACCCTCCGAAGAATTCCAAATCGTGATTCGGTCGTTCAGGGAGACCGCGGTTGGAGGCAGGGTGGCCCGAGGAAGCCCCCGGAGGCCCCCAGAATACGCCCAGGAGGTCTCCAGAAGGCCCTAAGAAAGCCTGAAACAACTTTTGTGAGGCCCCTAGAGGCTCTCCAAGGAGGAGCCTCCGCAAAAAAGAGCTGAGGAGGATGGGGAGAATGCGCAGGGCATGGCGAAAATGAAGAAAACGAAGCATGGAGGAAGGATAACGAATAACATTATTATAGCGGCGATCCCAGAAAAGGCAACCAGGAGTTATCGCTAAATTGTCGGCTCGGCCTTCCTGCTATTCCGCCTGCACATCAAACTTCAAGGACCAAGGTGCATGGCGCGAAGCGCCACTGCAGTCTTTTCCGGCATCGCCGCTATAATAATGTGATTCGTTATCCTTCCTCCATGCTTCGTTTTCTTCATTTTCGCCATGCCCTGCGCATTCTCCCCATCCTCCTCAGCTCTTTTTTGCGGAGGCTCCTCCTTGGAGAGCCTCTAGGGGCCTCACAAAAGTTGTTTCAGGTTTTCTTAAGGCCTTCTGGAGGCCTCCTGGGCGTATTCTGGGGACCTCTGGGGTCTTCCTCGGGCCACCCTGCCTCCAACCGCGGTCTCCCTGAACGACCAAATCACAGTTTGGAATTCTTCGGAGGGTGTCTTTGGACCATCTTGGGCCGCCATGGGGCTCTCTGAGGGCCATCTTGGACCCGTGTTGTGCCGTTTGGGGGCTCTCTTGGACTGTCTGGAAGCCCTTTCAGATGGTTGTGGGGCGATTTTGGAGCCTCCCAGGCGGCTTCGGACGCCCAGAAGACCGCCGTCTTGGAGCGTCGGGAAGCCGAAAAAAGGAGAACCCCAAAATTCACCAAAAACCCACGGACAATCAATGATTTTTGCCTCGGGGGGCCTTCTTGGGAGTGCTCTTGGAGGCCTCTTTGGGGCCGTCCTGGAGGCCTCTTGGGCCATCTTGAGGTCACGTCGGTCACTCTTGGAGCGCTCTTGTGCTGTCTTGGGGGTCTCTGGGACGTCTCCGATGACCCCCCAGATCGCCCTAGGTGTGCTGGGAAGGCTTGGCAAAACGCCCTGCGAGGCCCGGTGGCCGCTTCGAGGCCCGTCCGAAGGGTCCCAAAGCCCCAGATCCCGGGAGTCTGTTTTTTTTTGGGGGGGGGGGCGGGTTTTCCCCCGCCCTGGCTCATAAAAATATAGAAAGAGGAGTATATATACTAGAACCATCGCGCGCTTCGCGCGCGCTCAAGTTCTAGCTAGGCTTGATAGGCTAACTCATGTAATCTCATGCTGGTCGCTTCTTGCGTCCAGGGACTCCCTTGGAGGCCCTGCGCAAGCCTCGGAATCGTATAGAAGGGGAAGTGCGGAAACGCAGAAACCATCGAATTCCTTCTTAGGTATTCAACGATTTGGGACCCTCAAAGGCTTCCTGGGCTCTTTTTTGGTAGGTGAGGGGGGTCTGAATCGTGGTCTGTTGCGCAAGAGTGGACAGGGGGTCAAAAATTTTTAAAACAAAACAAAGGGTTTATGATATTCCCATTTTTCCAGTTCCTCGGCGCTGTTCGGCGCTGTTTTTGTTTGTGCCTCGCGGGTTTTGTTAGCCAGGCCCCTCAGAGGTGTGGGATCTTCCAGACCCCCTGGGGGTTCTGGAGGCCTCCTGGAGGCCTGGAGAGCCGTCGGAAGGGTGTCGCCGGCTGCGCAGGGGCGTGTTGGGCCGTTCTCTACGTTCTGGGGGCTCCTTGGGGTCGTCTTGGGCTGTCCTTGGGCGTCTTGGGGGCCCCCCGGGAAACCGGGAGGCGCGGTACCGGCCAGATGTCAGGGGATGTGTGGGATCTCCGAGTAGGAGTCCCACTTTGAAACAAAAGGAAAAATGGAAATTCCCTTTTTTTGATAAAATCCTCGGTCTTCGAGGGTTGGAAGCGGGAAAACGTGAGAAGGCGAAAAACATTACCAAAACCATTGGAAATCAACGATTTTACCCTCTTTGGGCTTTCTCGGGACGGCTCTTGCAGCTCTTCGGGGCTGTTCTTGGAGCCTCGTCGGGGTCTTTTTGGGGCATCTCAGGGATCGGGGTGGTGTTGGGGGCCTCTGGGGGGTCCTGGAGGCCTCTCTGTTCTGGGATGGTCTGGGGCTCTCCTGAGCGCCTCTTCGGCCAGTCTTGGAGCCTTCTTGGCCCGTCTTGGGGCCGCCCTGAGGGTTTCTTGGGTGGTCTTAGGGCGGTCTTGGGCGGCTCTTCGGCGTTCTTGGAACGTTGGAAGCTCGAAAACGCGAGAACGCCAAAAACATTTAAAGAAACCATTCAAAATCAACGATGTTGGCCTCTTTGGGCCCTCCCAGGACGCCTCTCGGACCTCTCTTAGGGGTCTCTTGGAGGCCGGGAGCCTCGAGAGCCGTCGGAAGGCTGACTTGGGCTGCTTGGGAGCGTCTTGGACCATCTTTTCGCAGTTTGGGGGCTCCTGGGAGGCGTCTTGGACCCTTCTGGGGCGCTGTGGAGGCTCCCCGGAAAGGCCGGGGGAGCTGTACCGCGAGCGTCCCCGAGATGTCACGGGGAGGTGTGGGACCCGGGGCCAGTGGGGTCGGTATTCATGTATGTTTGTAATTGTACATAAACATACATACATACTTACTTACTTACATACATACATGCATGCATATACATATATATATATGTATACACACATACATACATACATACATACATACATACATACATACATACATGCATGCATACATACATACATACATGCATACATGCATACATACATACATACATGAATGCATGCATGCATGCATGCATGCATGCATGCATGCATACATACATACATATATACATACATACATACATACATACATACATACATACATACATACATACATACATACATACATACATACATACATACATACATACATACATACATACATACACATACATACATACATACATACATACATATATATATATATATATATATATATATATATACATATATATAGATATATATGTACATATATATATATGAAGAAGAGAGAGAGAGAGAGAGAGAGAGAGAGAGAAAAACAAAAACCATCGCGCGCGCTTCGCGCGCGCTCAAGTTCTAGCTAGGCTTGATGGGCGAACACATGGAATCTCATCCTTGTCGTTTCTTGCATCCAGGGACTCTCTTGGAGGCCCTGCGCAAGCCTCGGAATGTACAGAAGGGGAAGTGCGGAAACGCATGAATCATTCACTTCCTTTAGGTATTCAACGATTTGGGACCCTCAAAGGCTTCCTGGGCTCTTTTTGGGGAGGTGAGGGGGGTCTGAATTGTGGTCTGTTGTGCAAGAATAAACCAGGAGCCAAATTTGGGGGAGAAGAAAAAAAACTGAATTGTGGGATTCCCATTTTTTCCAGTTCCTCGGCGCTGTTCGGCGCTGTTTTTGTTTGTGCCTCGCGGGTTTTGTTCGCCGGGCCCCTCAGAGGTGTGGGATCTTCCAGACCCCCTGGGGGTTCTGGAGGCCTCCTGGAGGCCTGGAGAGCCGTCGGAAGGGTGTCGCCGGCTGCGCAGGGGCGTGTTGGGCCGTTCTCTACGTTCTGGGGGCTCCTTGGGGTCGTCTTGGGCTGTCCTTGGGCGTCTTGGGGGCCCCCCGGGAAACCGGGAGGCGCGGTACCGGCCAGATGTCAGGGGATGTGTGGGATCTCCGAGTAGGAGTCCCACTTTGAAAAAACAGCATTGCAGAAAGAAGGAATCCCAGAATGCCAGAATCGTATTATTAAGGGGAACTGCGGAAACGAAAAAAAACATTAATTGTCGTGAGGTAATCAACTATTTGGGGCTCTCGAAGGGTCCAGGGTTCTATTATGGGGCCTTAAGTGTGGTCTGCTGTGCAAGATTAGACAAGGGGGCCAACTTGGAAAAAAACGGAATGGTGGGATTTCCACTTGTTTTTCAAGTTGTAGTGCCTGGGCTGTGGGTTAAACGTTTTCTGCATGCAGGCCACGGTCTGTTGGGATGCCTCTCGGGGTCTTCATGCAAAAATAAGCAGGGGGTGAGTTTGAAAGAAAGGAATTCTAACATTCCACTGCTTCAACTCATGGGAGCATGGGATCTCGATTTCTACCATGGTTTCAGGGGCAGCCAAGAGGGCACGAAGATGATCCAAGAGTGCCAAGACAGCGTCAGAGAGTTCAACAGCATTCCC